TGTGTGTGTCTGTGTGGAAAAACAACACTTGTCTAAAAACTGTATGTAGCATTTGGGAACATCCCCCTGCTGCGAGGACAGGCAGCTATGGGGAGGGTGGGTTTTTGTTGTGGCCGGCTCGTGAGTTGGGCACGGGGCAGTAGCCGACCCGTTAGCCGGCCGCGCCGCCCCGTACCAAGCTGGCTGCAGCCTCGCTGGCCGCAGGCTGCACTTGTCACCATGTGCTAAGTTGGTGACATGCCCTGCATAGCAAGAGGGTCGGAGGAGCCTTCCTGGAAGCCCCCACTCCCGACCTGCTTGTTCGGACTATCCTCTGTTAATAGATGGGCAAAACGTGTGTTTTGTCGTAGCGTAATTAAGGCTGTGTTGCCGCTAGCTAAATTTAAGAGATTAATTTTTGTCTTTATTTTCTTTTCTCCTTCGACTCCTGAACTCTGTCAGCACATGCGTTCTCATTGCTTAACGGTGGTTTTACGCAGCCCAGCTGAGAGGGCAGTTTTGCCAGATATAAAAGCGTTCAGATACTATAACAAATGTTCTTACAATCCCAGTATATTATTGTTATCTTTGAATAAAGCATAGAAGGTCTTTATTATGCTGGACACAGAGCTGTATCCTGGCTTCATAGGACAAATCAGAAAGTCTCTCATACAGCTAAGCTCCGAACTCCAGAATACAGAGACTCTTCTTAAATGGAAACTTTCAAACAAAGGCAGATTGTACGGGCAGAATCATCCAAGTCAGCCATCTTCTGCACCAGGCTCACCAAAGCGTGCTCTGAGAGGTGCTGCTTTCCTGCAGTCAGTGTTCTGATAAATAGTGATAAAATGTGAGATGGGCTTGGATGTCTGCGGCTTCATACTTCAGTAAGTCTTCAAGTACGTGATTTTGGGACTTAATATTTAGTGGAAAACAAAAGAAATCCAGAGTCTGTAGGTTAATTTTGGGCAGCAGAATGTTCCTTGGGACGAATGCACCTATTTAACATCTTGCTTGCTGTTTCTTACTAAGTGTGTGTGCCCGCTTGGTTGTCCTTAGCCTGACAGCTTTGGGTAGGACTGTCTTTCATGGAAGTCGGGAAAACAGCTGCCTTATTTGCTAGTAAGTTTCACCTGGACTTTAACGAAGCTGTAGCCCCTTTGGTCTCTGCTCCGTCTGTAAACTGAAAATTCATTCCTTGCTGTCCAGTCTTTGCATTGCAAAGCACTGTTATTTCTGGAATAACTGATGTGAATAAGGTTAGTAAGTAAATCATTTTAAGGTCAATATTGCGTATCTGAGATTCCCAGATTTGTACTGGGAACAGCCTCCCTCTCCTTTTCTAGCCCTGTGTTGGGAGCAAGAGCATTTGGCCGTTGAAACAACGCAGGATATTCCAGCATGTGTTTCCTGTCTCTTCCAGGGAAAAGGCAGTAGGCTGTTCTAGTCTGGGGTGGGATTTGATGTTTTTGTTTGAATGCTGCTTTGAATGTCGCCTGCCATTAGGGCTACACATAGGGCTGTTCGGGAGCCCCTCCTACACACTGAAATCTCCGAGTACTTCATTGCCAAAGAGGCTTGTGCTGCCAATTCCCCTCCTTTGACGTGACATGGCTTTCAAATCCTAGAAAACAGAAGTCGGCAGCATGATGCAATACCTGCAAATATTTTTCCAAAATGACTTGGCTCCAAAGTCTGCCCCTCAAATCCCTCGTAGGCCAAGAATTTCCATAAGCATTTAAAAATAGTTTCCTGGCAAGAATAAAATGGCAAAATGGAAATTTAAACTTTCTTTTGTGTATTGACCTGGCACAAAATTCTGGATTGAATTCTTGTAAGGGACCTGTTGGCTGTTATCAAAGTATGGGGCTGCTGTTAAAGAATCTTGAAAGGTGCTAGATGAAGGGAAGGTGGAAAAGAATGCTGGGTACATGCACAAAAAAGACTCTTTTGGCTCTTTTTCTGAGGCTGGCAGGTGGGATTGAGGTAGAGTTGTGCTAGGTGATGGGCACAGTGACAATGTTGCGTCTTATTGAGACTAGATAATTCTTCCTTTTTTTGTTGTTTCAGGTCCAAGTAATCTCTTGTCCCTTTCTCTCTGCTCTTCAGTAGGTTTAAGAGAACAGTAATTTTTGATATATTTTAACTGCTTTGATTAAATCTCTTTATTACATAAAACTGTTCCCTTAAAGGTATGCTAATAAAGTTTACAGGTTAAAAAATGACCTATTGAGGTCATAGGCCACTAGTAGGTGGTCTTTTTCAAAAAATGTCCTATATATTTTGCAGCTTTTGGGTAATACTGGAATACATTCCGTCTAATTAGCGTTCTGTCTAATTAAGCAATTGAATAACGCTTTTGTCATCTCCCTATCAGAAATATAGAGACAAGTTTTGCAATATTAGGAAGTTTCGAAACAGTACTACCTTGTGATACAAATTTCTTCACCAAGACTTGACTGTCAAAATGCACCAAAAATAAGTTAAAGGGCTGTGCTTCTATCTCTGTGTTGTAAAATAAAAGGTAAGGTTGTCATTCTCTCTCTTGGCTTCTGATGGGAGTTAGTCTTGTGCTATGTCATGAGTTTATTCTGAAATACAGCAGTCTTGCTATTCCTCCCAAATATTAATGATTTGCAGAGATGTTATTTTGCAGTAGATCTCATTTTATTGCATTTGTGCCAGTTTGTAAAATATCTGAATAATGTTTTTCATGGGAAAATACAGTCTTGGCTTCTAATGGCTCTTACTCAATGCCTTTGGATGTCTTGCATGTATTGGAGCCCAAAACTTTTTCACATGTTCGTTTTTTAGAATACAACAATGTCTTGCCCTCGTTTTGAGCTAGGCCCCTTTGTCTTGTAAGAGCTCATTGGTAGCAATATCCTGTTTAAAGTTGTTTTAAAAGAATGACCTTGTAGGGCATGTTTCCTGCGCTCTCTTGATGGGATTTCCTCTTTATTAAACAGGAAATAGTCTGATTACATGAAAGTGTGAGAATGACAGGTTTTTCCTTCCCAGCGAGGGTTGTTCATGCTAATTCTATTTGGAGTACTCTCAGCTGCCAGAACTGCTGGAGCTCCTTTGCATTGCCTAAAATTATTGTTTACAGCTAAGAGTTTCACACTAAAGCATTGCTCGGTCTGCACCAGCAGCTAATCTTGCATGTGAAAGTCTTTGTACCGTGATTCTGTCACAGACACATTTTTTTTTTCACAAGTAGAAGGTGACAGGATTCAGTGATTTGTAGTTGCGCTCTGCTAATATTCAAAGGTCTGTTTTCTTCATTTCTTTTTTTTCCCCTCCTCCTTGGCACCCTGAATTGCAGTTGGAAACTGCAGAGATGTTGCTTGCTTACCCCACAAAGACAGTTTATATTTGTAATGTCCATTATTTTGCTTTTAACTTTGTTCTGGGAATTGCCTGCGCTCCATATTTAGACAAGGCTTAGTGATTGTTTCATATGGATTGGACGTTTTGGGAAAAGGAATATTACCATGGGATAACGCTATAATGTAAATGCTATTCTATTTTATTCCATGAGCCAAAAGAATGGGCAGATAGTTAAGCGTTCCCTCAAGGAAACTGCAGGATTGAGGTAGCCCATTCATGTACTGTAATTGCCTTAATAGATAGATTGGGTGGTGCCCAGGGATTGATTTGGGGTTGCCTAATAAATGATGGTGCTTCTTGCAACTGCAGACTTGAAACGTGGGCACCGACTGAAGCAGGAAGACCTTGAGACGTGGTTATTGGTTGGATAGACCAAAAATCACTGATTAAAGAAGTGCTGCCACTTGAGAACGTTGGGTTTCGTTCCAGGCTTAGGAAAGGTTAGCCCAGCAGTTGCCGAAACGTTTGTTGTGACCTCTCTTGGGTTTCTGCCCTGAGTTTTGCCCGTGCTCGTTTTGAGAGCCGTTGTGTGGAGCCTTCCTCCTCCCCTCCTCTCCTGCCCCTGCCTTTCTGCCCTGCTGGCCAGCACCTCTTCTCTGGGCATGGTCTGGGGGCCTCTTGAGGGTCGTCGTCTTCATTCCTGGCTCTGTGCCTTGTGCTTTGAAAGACCAGAGCCTTTTCTTTTTATGTGCAGTGCAAATAGTGCAAGTTCTCTGTTCAAAATTTGCATGTGATTTTGAAGACTCTCATGATGAATATAAATAAGGTTATTCTGCCCATATTAACTATGCTGTTTTTGAATATTTGACTTTGCATTAATGCTTTGATGAACCATCACATTACTATCTACACAACTTTCAATGTGAAACAGCAGAAAGGGAAATAATCTGGCAGAGTGCTTGGTTGGTAGATAAAAATTCAAAAAAATGAAATAATGAATAAGCTCTGGAAATCTAAAACTTGCCTCCATTGCAGAGGGGTGGTTTAGAATTCTGCATGTAGACTTCCTCTTGCTAATTAGTGCAAATCTTCCAATATCCCACTGGAAAATCAACATTTACACAGCAAAGCCTGGGATTTCGGTGTCCCGTACGGTTAACTTTGAGGTTCCTGATTGGAGCTGTTGGAGCTGGCCTGCGCCCCAGAGGGGCTGGCGTGTTGGAAAGGTTTTGGAGCAGGCTGCCTTGCTGGGATCCTTGCGCCAGTAAAATGATGTGCAACATGACTCAATGAACGAGCTTTGTTTAGAGAGCTGAAAAACATTAGTTTCTATCTCTGCTTATGGATATTAACTTTTTTCTTTCCCCCCAGAAAAATGACAAGCCCATTTTTGGGTTGAGGTGGAGGTGGGAGGTGTGGGGGTTGCAGCATTGTAGTGGATCGTTGTTCTGGTGCGCGTCAGCTTCGTGCAATCTGCCGCGCTCCGGAGCAGCGCGAAGGAACCACCTGAGATAATTTGGAGATTTGGAGTGCTTTTGTGTAGTTGCTGATGAGGTTTGTGCAGCTGCCTGGAAGGGGCTCAGGAATATTGCCGTGGAAAACGTGGGGTATTTTGTGTTCGGAGGTCCAAACTGCCCTCCAGGATGTCATTGCCTTGAGCTCGTTGCTCAGCTGTGCTCTCCCCGCAGGTGCTGCTCGTCAGCAGCAGTCGGCATCCCGACCGATGGATTGTCCCCGGAGGCGGCATGGAGCCCGAGGAGGAGCCCAGCGTGGCCGCCGTGCGGGAGGTTTGTGAAGAGGTAAGTGCTCAGCAAGAGCTCGAGCGGCCGCGACGCCCGTTTGCTGCACGGGGAGAACATCAGCGGGTCGCGGTACCGGGCAGGGAGGCAGGAGCTCCAAGGAAAGACAGCAGAGGGGTGAATTGAGCTTCGCGTCCCGAGTGAGCCCCCTCCTCGACTGATCCCTTCACCTGTAGGTGGGTAAAGCTAATCTCTAGCCACTGTGATGCATATGGTGATGCTTTCAGTTTGATTTTGTTTTTGTAAAGTGCAGTCTCAGAGAACTTCAAAAGACAGCTGTGTCTTTGTGGAGCTAACGATTGAGTACAAGATGGAAAAGAGACCTTATGAGTGATCGAAGACTTTCCAGAAATAGGGACCTCAGTGTATTTGGTCGACTCCACATTTTGAGATGATGTGAATACCAGAATTTGACTCTTAAGAGTTGTCACAAGCAGCAGTTCCTGTGTGTTCACAATCTTTTTTTTTTTTCTTTTTCGTCACTTGAAGCCCTTTCAGAAAGGGAATCAAACAGCAACATACGCTTTTATGAACTGCATGGAGAAGGTTTTTTTCCCCTCTCAAGGTTGCAACAGTGAGATGGGGGGGCTTTGTTTGGTGTTTTAAGGAAATTAAAAGTCAGCAAGCGGAAGTTGACTGCATCTTTTGCAAAATATCTTTAGAAATTCTCTTCTGAATATTGCTGAAATGGAGAGGTGCTTGGGATTCAGAAGCAATTAAATGGTTGTGTGTGGATGATCACAGTTATATAAGGCAGTATTAAAAATGCTTTCACGAGGGTTATAAATCTGTGTCCTAAAGAACAAAAATCCAGAGCTAATTAACGGGAGCTGGGAGGAAGCTTTCCCAGCTCTTGCTTTATTTGCTTGTCTCGTGTGTGAACCCTTGCCCTGAAGTGCTTGGAAGTACCTGCTGTCTAACAAAATGTTGGCCATCAGGGCGTCTGGGCTAATCTCATGTGGCAGCTCCTGTGTCATGTGTTTCTCTTTAGATGTTTTCATAATCTAGCGGTTTTTCTGGAAAGATACCAAAGATACAAAATCAAAGTTTATTTTTAAATCACTTTAAGGCCTTCCAGTACTCGAGATCGCTGCTTTCAAATGTTGTTTCCAACTTGTAACACAGCTCCTGCTTTTTTAATAACTCTCCAACCTTTCAAAATACATTACCAGCAAAAGTGAGTTTAGCCAAAACAATAGAAATACTTTCGGTTGCGGAGCCTCGCTTTATAAGCAAATCCTTGCTAATAATTAAGTTATTTGATCCTGAAGTCAAAGGTTCATTCAGGAGATCCATGGCTTCGCCTTTCAAATCCTTAAAATAAATGTGCGTCGCCGCTTGCTTTCTCAGGCAGCTCGGAGCCTTGGAAGAGCTGCGCTCTTTCCATGACAGCCCGTGGCTGAAAGGAAGTCTTGGCATGGACTGCGGCTGCAGCGAGGAAACTGGTTGGGGCTGGCTGGGATAATCCTGCTCTCTGGGCTGGTGCTCCCCGCCTCACGTGGAGCGGGGCCGGACGAGGCTGGCATTCCATCGGGACAGCATTCCCAGCCAGGTGCCCTGTGCTCCGCGAGCCCCCGGAGCCCCTGGTGCCCGCGGAGTCGGGAGCTGCGAGCCCGCTCTGAGATGCTGCTGCCGTGAGGGCTTTTCTGCAAGTGCTGCAGAGGAGCAGCCTCTCGTGTATAGAATTACTCAAGCACTTGTGCAGCTGATGATTAGAGTAGCTGACACCGGTGAAAAACACATGCCAGCTTGGGGCACCTACGTTTTTTCTCAGATACGCTTCTTTTCCAATATGCTGCTTATAGTATCTGCACCAATTATAATGGGTCAGTTCTGGCTTGGGCCCGATGAGCTGCTGATGTTCAGGTGTCGCTGGGGATCGTGTGTGCAGCAGGTTGGGGTATGTGGCTGGGTCAGGGTACTGCTGTATCCTGCAGTTCATGGTGTGAAGGACTCGTGCACCCGGGCTTTCCCAGCTTGGGTTATTGATGTGGCAGGGACCATGTTTGTAGAGAGAAAATCCTCTCTCCATGTCCATGGACACACAAGTAATTTTTACCCTAAAAGGACCTGGTCTCTGTGTTAACCAAAACTATGGAAGATTCTTGTGGCGTTTCTTCCTCTGAGTTCAGTAGAGCTTTTCCATTTAATCAGAGCCAGTAGGAAGGGGTGGAAGGATTCCTACTTTCAGTTGCTTGTGTTCTTTGGAGGTGGCCATGGCTCTCATGC